TAGTTGAGGTAGTTTTTTATATTTTACCCTAGAATATATTGTAAACAAAATTCAAAATGTTGCCCATTTTCAAGTGCCAAACTATTTTTGAGACATAAGTTACCAACTTTTCTGAAAGTTTGATTGTTTTTTGTTTTTTTTTGGTTACGACAGAATTGAATGAAAATGAAACTCATAATATCAATTAGATTTGTCTGAAAATCAGGCATGCATACATGGAGAGTAGGCTAGGCAATGAAGTTTAATTCTAGCTGTGTGACCTATCGGACATGCTAATCTTTCATGTATATAAATAAATAATTAAACCACAGCAGAACATGTGTGACTATTATATTATTTCATGGTTTGCAGAAGTCTCTGTCATTATCTATTAGTTTTGAGTTAATATATCTTTCAACTTGTGGTCTGACATTTACTGAATTACAAGCAAAACCATGACCAACCGTGAGCAATTTCCTGGAAAATACAGCCAGTCGAAGGCTTTGTATTCTTAGAATTTGTACTGACGTGATGTTAACTAATTTAATTAAACAAGTCTTCCAAGAAACTACCTATCAATTCACAAAAATTCAATGGTGCTCGTACTCCGAGATTTTTAACCATATTTCGAGCAGGAAGGAGAAGACTTAAAAGCTGTATATAAAAGTTTCCCTAATCTATTTCTATGATTAGAGATCAAAACATGGCTAATTTCCCTAGTGTTCCGAAAACAATCTCTCTTTTTTTGCTTTGTTATCTCATCACCTTCCTTTTTGATCTTGCTTATGCTGATCCTCCATACAAGTTGTGCTCAGATGTTCGCGGTTATGTCGAAAATAGTACGTTTCAGAAAAACCTCCAGAGCCTGCTCAATTCATTGCCTTCAAATGCTTCTGTTTCCAAGCTGTACAATACTTCCGCCGGAAATGAACCAGATAGAGTTTATGGCCTTTATATGTGCCTCGATTATGTTACGAATGAGACATGTCACAACTGCATCAACACCGCGCATTTAGACATTGTGAGGATTTGTCCCAACTCAACAGAATCAGTTGTGTGGGAGGAGACGTGCCAACTGCGCTACTCCGATGTGAAGTTCTATGGTGAATTGAATATGGCAGACAACATTGCGTTGGCTAACAAGGAAAACGTTTCAGACCCAATAAAGTTTGAGTATACCGTGAGGGAGAAGCTGAGTGAGCTTGCGAAGCGAGCCGCATATAATGTTTCAGCGAAAATGTATGCTACTGGAGATGTACAATTTGAAGATAAAGTGATATATGCTCTTGTGCAGTGCACCAGAGACTTATCTGGAGATGACTGTGATAAATGCCTTCAGCACGCCATAGAAGACGTTTTGAGAGAGTTTTATTTCTCCATTGGTGCACGGCTTTTGAGCCGGAGTTGCTATCTGAGGTACGAATTGTATGCCTTCTATAATGGTGCAACTGAAGCTTCTATTTCTAGCTCTCCGAATAACAACAAAGGGGACGGTGAGTACTTTTAAAAGTGTTTGTCAATTTCGACGTTACGATGTTATAAATTAACTGCAAATGCCTGGTTGTTTCCAAATGAAGGTAGAGGATGGTGGATCACGATCCTTACGGTTGTGTCAGCATGTCTAGCCATACTACTTTTGGGTTCCTGTTTCTATCTTGCAATGAGAAAAAGAAACAAAAAGGGTAAAATACTGCTTTGGGAAATGCTTATTTTAGAGCTGATCATCACTCTAATATGTTTTCTGAAAGCAGCTTTTCTTTTGATCTGTTCAGTGAGTAGTGAGATTTTAAGACAACATGTATTGTTCCCAGAACAACGTTTTCAAGGCAGAAACCCGAAAGCTGAGGAGTACCCCTATATCAGTTTGGCATCTATACATGCAGCTACGGATAAATTCTCTGATTCAAATAAGCTTGGAGAAGGTGGTTTTGGGCCTGTTTACAAGGTAAAAAGTAAAAGCAAACTGTTTCTTTAACAAAACTATGGACAAAAAGTTCACATACGAAGATTGAATCGTTATTTGTAGTACCATCTACCGCTTGGTTAGTATTTTCAGCGGCTTGATTTAAAATCTGGTTTTTTGAAGGGTGTACTCAGTGACGGAAAAGAAGTGGCAATCAAGAGGCTTTCAAGCTGTTCTGAGCAAGGCTCGGAGGAATTCACAACTGAAGTTCTGCTGATAATGAAACTTCAACATAAAAATCTTGTTCGGCTTTTGGGTTTTTGTGTTGAGGGAGAGGAAAAACTGCTTGTCTATGAATACCTGCCAAACAGCAGCCTAAATGTCTTCCTCTTTGGTATGTTTTCTCTTATGATCTCTTGAAAATTTCTGTATTCGGGATCTAACTTCAACTGCTTTATACTATGGCTAAGATTTTATTGTCAGAAATATTTTAGTCTGTAAATTCTCCTCCAATGATGCTTAGATTCAGAGAAACGAGCACAACTTGATTGGAGCAGACGTGTAAACATTGTAAGTGGAATTGCAAGGGGAATTCTTTATTTACACGAGGACTCTCGACTTCAAATCATCCATAGAGACTTGAAAGCTAGCAATGTTTTATTGGACAGTGACATGAACCCTAAGATCTCCGACTTTGGCATGGCAAGGATCTTTGCAGGAAGTGAAGGCCAAGCAAATACGACTACAATAGTTGGGACTTAGTAAGTGCTTCTTGTCTAAATTTTCCTTTCCACTAAAGGGAAACTTACGGTACTCAACATTTTGTTCTGGATTTTGGTATTGGAATAGCGGATATATGGCTCCAGAATATGCAATGGAGGGAGTATATTCCGTCAAGTCTGATGTTTATGGTTTTGGAGTACTATTGCTTGAGATCATAACTGGGAGAAGGAACGCCAGCTTTCATCCAATAAAACGTGTTCCTAGCCTTGTAACATATGTAAGTTACTTTATGCACTTCTCTCAAAGCAAGACTTTTTGCAATTAAACAGCAGCTTAATGCTTATCCAATTGATTATGATGCAGGCATGGAAATTATGGCATGACGGAAAAGGGTTGGAGCTACTCGACCCACTACTGCTCGATTCATGTGATCCACATGAGTTTCTAAGATATCTCCATATCGGATTGTTGTGTGTCCAGGAAGACGCGTATGACAGGCCAACCATGTCTTCTGCTGTTGTAATGTTAAAAAGTGAAACTGTAACTCTTAGCCAGCCCGAGAAACCTGCTTTCACCACGGGAAGATTCACCGATCATTATACTGAGACAGCTGCTGGTAATAGTTCTATTAATGGCCTAACAGTTTCTAATGTCATGCCGCGATAACACCATAAGATTCATGAATCTGTACAAAGTTGAAGCTTTCCTATGGTGTTCCTTGTCATGAAATTCTACCCATGTTCTCGATAGCACAAAGTTTTTCTTAGTTTTGTTGTGTGTATATTATTAATAAATACAGAACACCGGTAGTTCAGGTGATACAAGTTGCTAAGAACTGGTTTATTCATTTCTAATGAGAATTAAAAGGGGGACACCAAGCCAAAAAGGCTTCCCTCTTTGCCAGGGTTGGGAGAGAAACATCTAGCGTACGCAGCCTTACCCTTGCCTTACAAAGAGACTGTTTCCAAGGCCCAAACCAATGATTTTTCAGTCACAAAAGAGCAACCTTATTGTTGCGGTAAGACATGCCCTCATTTCTAATGAGAATTGATGGTTTTTATTTATTTTTCATCATTCTAATGGATTCGATTCAAGGAATTTCACTTCATTCAAATTTAAAAATAAAAAATAAAAAATAAAAAAATTGCATTTGTTTGTCAACCACCATCCGAACCAACCTGGAAATGGCCCTGATAACTTGTTTACTAATCTGTAATAATCATTATGACGTATTACGATAGCAACAAATGAAAGCTAGATTTAGCATAACTTGACACTAAAGTCTAAAGCTATGATATCATCAGTATTGCTAATTGATTTGAATTCACTGTTAAGATGGCTGTAAGCATGTTCAGGTTAAAAAATAGCCAACATGACACACAAAATTAGTAATTAATTAATCACTAAAAGTCTAAAACCAGAGGCTGCTTAATCTGAGGTTTCATTTGAAATAAGATGATTTGGAGCCTTGTTTATGTCAAATTCTAGATGTCCGGTCAAACAAATAGTTAAATAAAGAGACACAACTTGTTTAGCCAATCCTTAAATAATCACACTTTAATCAAGTGCTGTAAGCATGACTTACTTACATGTGATCAAGTTGCAAAGTCTTTGATAATCCAACAATTCAAATCCCTTGATCAATGCAATATCCTTGGTCTCAGTCAGCATGACTTTGTTCAGCCGGCTTGCATATCGTCAAATCTTCGATCAGCAAGGAAGCCTCGGTGATACAATCAAATCGATACTTTTAACCGGATGCAACCTGCTAGAGGTTAAACTTCACTCTCGGATTATATAACAGACGATCAAAATAGAGCCTGCATAAACACTAAAGCACATGCTGTTGTTAATTTGATGTCACCTCAAGGAAATTTCATATCCAATAAGATCACTTGGATATATTTCAATTTCTACAGGTAAATTCACGTGATTATATCCTATCTTCCTATAGCACTCATCACGTCGTTACCCTCACCTCCAATTTTTTTCTGCCAAATTCTATGCTACAGTCAAAACACTTCATACTAAATTACTAGTAATTCCATGGCTGCTCCCTTCAAGTAGAATGGTAAAACAAATAGTTAGACTTACCACTACTCTAGATACATGAACTCTAAGATAATCACATTTTAATCAAGTATTTTAAGCATGCCTTATATGTGACTAATCTGCAAAGTCCTTGATTAATTAATCAACAATTAATCAAATCATTTGAATACCATATGCTATTCTTTGTCTCTACTGTTCAATCAGCAAGGAAGTTTCTGTGGTGTAATAAACGGTTGACCAGATGAAAACTAGTAGCTGGAACTTCGATGTCAAAACTGAAAAGTGATCAAAATAAATCATCAAAGTGTTTCTTGCCATTGTCCTAATTCTGTGTTCACTGTGAACCCTTTTCTAGAACATGGATAAAGATAAACTTCCTGTAATGCTTTTTGCAATTATTTCGCTGTTGATGCCAGCTGCCCTTTCTGCTACAGATCCCCTTTCAATTTTTTGTTCAGCTGATGCCAGAAATAGCCAATTTGAAAGCAATCTTGAGCGGCTACTTGAGTCATTATCTTCCAACACTTCCATCGCAGGAGGTTTCTACAACGATACGGTTGGAGATGGACTTGACATAGTCTATGGACAAGCACTTTGTAGATGGGATGTCAACTCCACAGTTTGCCAAAACTGTGTCGATGAAGCAAGGCAGGAAATCTTCAAGAGTTGCAAAACAACAGATGCAATGATTTGGTACGAGCTATGTCAAGTTCGATATTCTTACCAGATGTTCTTTCAACTAATGGTTTACACCGGAAAGTATCCGGACAAGGACAATCAGGAGAAGAACGTATCAAATCCACACCATTTCAATAATGTATTGAACTATTTAATGATAAACCTCTCTGGAGCAGCTGCGTTTAGTCCTTCTAAGCATATGTTTGCAACTGGGAAAATTAAAATTTCAGGAAAGGATACAATTTATGGCTTACAGCAGTGCACTAGAGACATTTCTGCAAGTGACTGCCATAGCTGTTTGAATTCTGCTCTCACAGATCTTTTGGGATGTTGCTCTTCTCAACAAGGTGGAACTGTTCTCAGTAGGAATTGCAATGTGAGATTTGAGCTGTTCCCCTTTTTTAACGACACGTCAAATTCTTTGTTAATTTATCCACAGTCCAAAGGTTAGTTGCTTGAAAGTTTTCTTTTGTGAATAAATCATCTGTGCACTGCATGCACATTGTGGCTCAAGGAAATTCTTTCTATTAAAAAGCAGCGGATAGATGGAAGAATTGGAAGGTGGTTATATTTGTATCTGCATCCATCATACTGTTAGCAGCCATTGTATTTTGTGCTGTCCATCTCCGGCGCAAAAAGGGATCAGAGGATGTCAAAGGTACATATATCAAAACTAAAAAATTATTCTGAATTTTGAGGATTACCTTGTAAGATTTACTTATGATGTTTTTTTTTGCAGATGAAGAAAAAAGCGAGCAAGTACTATTACAAGATTTGGCAAGCCCCACTGGAGTCACAATCACAGAAGAAGGGATGTTCATAATTTCTGAAGAGCTGGCCTTCATGGATCTAGCTACTATAAAGATAGCTACGAATGACTTTTCGGATTTAAACAAGCTTGGACAAGGTGGGTTTGGTACTGTTTATAAGGTAATGATACTATGTATTATGTTTCTAAGTAGGCTTAATTATACAATAGTATTGATTCAATTATAGGCCGAAAAATGTATGTCATCTGATTTTGTCAATATTCTTTCAGGGTTTGCTACCAGATGGGAAAGAAGTTGCTGTCAAAAGACTGTCGAAGAAGTCATGGCAAGGCTTCGAGGAGTTCAAAAATGAGGTGGTAACCATTGCAAAACTTCAACATAAAAACCTGGTGCGGCTCTTGGCATGCGGCTTTGAGGGAGAGGAAAAGCTGCTTTTATACGAGTTCATGCCAAATAAAAGCCTTGATGTTTTTATCTTTGGTTTGTCCATCTTACTCTTCTGCTATAATTTTCTTTTACTTTCACATTGATACATCATACGGACACTTCACATGATAAATTGTACTAAATTTTCAGATTTGGAAAGACGAGCTGAACTCAATTGGAAAATTTATTACAACATTATTGAAGGCATTGCTAGAGGGCTTCTGTATCTTCACGAGGACTCGCGGCTTAAAATCATTCACAGGGATTTAAAGCCTAGCAATGTACTGTTGGACTATGAAATGGTTGCCAAAATATCAGACTTTGGCATGGCAAGGATATTTTGTGAGAGCCAGAACACAGCTAACACTAAAAGAGTTGTAGGAACACTGTGAGTTTGCTTCTTACACCTCCCATATTTATCTTTAGAACATGCTAATGCTTATACTCGATTCTTGAAACAGCGGTTATATGGCTCCAGAGTACGCAATGGAGGGTCTATTCTCGGTCAAATCCGATGTCTTCAGCTTTGGTGTAATCTTGCTAGAGATTATTAGTGGGAAAAGGAATAGTGGGTTCTATCTCACAGAACATGCCAAGACACTCCTTGCATATGTATGTTTCTTTGTCCACTTTGATTACTTAACTTAATTTCTGTGAAATTAAAATATTTTGCGGCTTAAATAATTGATAGGCATGGAGGCTATGGAAGGATGGAAAACAGTTGGAATTTATTGAGCCTTCGTTGATGGAAACATGCCCAACAGCCGAGGTTTTGAAGTGCATGCATATTGGTCTTTTGTGTGTCCAGGAAGACCCTGCGGAGAGACCTACAATGTCAACTGTGGTTGTATTGCTGGGTAGTGAATCCATAGATCTTCCTGAACCAAAGCAACCGGCAATATTTGCAGTACGAAGAGTTGCCCCAATCAGTGAGTCTACAACTGATCCTGCTTCAAATGGGCTCACTCTTTCCATCATTTCACCGAGGTGAACTAGCTCTGACTGGAATTCCATTTTGCTTCCTCGAGGCTGGTTCGAGTACTGCTTGAGGGGGCTCAAAAGTGGTTTGATCCTAGCTCTCGAGTGGCTATATATATCGCTGAAATAAAAAAAAACCTTAATAGCCCCCAGTGAGTTAGGATCCTCAGGATCATCAAGGAATTCAAACGTACCTTGTGTATTAATTCTTCTTTGCTCTCTTCGTTTACTTGTGGCATATTCTTTTAAAAAGAGGGCTATTTGTCCAACTTCCCAAGCAATTTTAACATAAAAGGTAGAATGTGTCATGTAATATTGTGTTTTATGCATTCAAATTCATGCCAACAAAACAATGCATTCTCATCCCCCTATAAAAAAACACAAGCTTCGTTTTCCTTTCACTTTCATTACGTGAACCAAATGAGGCCTTAGGTTAACAGACCTAACTGGGTTTCTCTTGTAGTTGAATATAGTTATAGCCTATATGGGGTCTCCAGGGATTTTGGTAATTTCATTGGTTTTGGTTTCAGGACCTGTAGGCTGTAGCAACCAAAAAATTTAAAACGTTTCATTTAATTCGAAGATGAATGAAATGAAAATTGCCAAAAAAAAAGGTGAGAGTGTGATGCAGTGCATGAAAGAGAAATTCATTGAGCTATCATATTTCATGGCTAATTTATATTTTGGTAAGACTAGGAAGTTGTGTTAGAGTTTAATTAAGTAGTTGGCTAGGCCTTTTAAAATGCTAGAATTCTGTAGGTTTTTTTTTTTGGGGGGGGGGAGAGGGGGAGAGAGCTATGTGAATGAATTTATGAACAAAGCTTGCCTCTTTATCTTTGTCTCCTTCTCTAGTTGTGCAAGTGTTCGTCTAGTTGATTTTTAACAGTCCCCCCATCAGAGTGTGAGTAATGTGATGTGTAAGAGTATGGGATGAGTCGATTTCATATTATATATTTGACCATATTCTAACTTTCTAAGTATATTTAAGTTATTATTTTGGTGAAAATTGGATACTTTGAATTATATTTCCAATGTAGGACATTCGACTTCCTCCTGAGCAAAAAGTGGCCAAACAAATGAATTTCGAAGTGATTCTAATTGGATGATGTTCATTAGTCTTCCTACTTGTTTGTATCAAAGTTTTAGGGTTTTCTACCGAGTAGTTTATTTATAGCAATGAAATAAAGGTCCAATGAATAGTGCTTTCGAAGTGACATTTTGTGCTTATTTGGACTTTTGGGAGTCTAAGATGATGTCTTTTGGGTTCGAAGCCTTCTGGAATTATGTTTGAGACATCTCAAGCTTTAATTTTAGTTGTTTTGGGCCTTTTTTAGCCCTGAAGATCTAGAAACGTGGCTGATTTGTGGATGAGCAGATTTTGCATATTTTTTGTCCAAAAAAAAAAAGTGCAACAAGATAAAGTTTTAAAGTTTTTGGCCCGTGAGAGAGTGCATTCATTAGTTTTAAGGCCAAAGATAGGTCAATTCGATATTTGTCCAATTCCTATGGAAAGTAAACTTGCTAGAGCTGCTATACTACAATTATCTTGTTTTCTTGCAAATATTTTTAAGTGTTTTTATTCTTATTTTTACAAGTAATAAAAATCCTATTAGTATGCTAAGTCTAGAATTCGAAACTCTCCAATAAAAAACAAAAAAGTGCAACAAGATAAAGTTTTTTTTTTTTTTTTTGTTTTGAACAAACGATATTTATCTACACTAAGGGGAGGGGTGGGTTTAGTCTCACAATGGGTTAATAATAATGTGGTTCAAATTCACCTTTGGTGAGAATCAAACCTAAGACCTCTCACTTACAAATGAAGAGGAATATCATTAGACTGTAGTACTAAGTAGCAACAAGATAAAGTTTTAAAGCTTTTGGCTGTGAGAGAGTGCATTCGTTAGTTTCGAGGCCAAAGATAGGTCAATTCAATACTTTCAATGTAGGGTAATGCTAGGGGGACCAAATTTGGAGAGTAAACTTACAAACTAAATAATGTGTCACCAATAAGAATAAGCACGTTTATTAATGTGTAAGTAATAAACAAATCATCAACTTCTATGTTCTTTAGTTTTCAAAACTTTGTTTACAAATTAATTTAGTCTCCCAAACATTACTCTTTCAATATAATGTTCTGGACTCATACAGTAAAAAGAACTGTTGAGTTCATAAAAAATGTTTATACAGCTTTGAGCTTTGTTGGTTTTTTTGGTTAAGATCAAGGTCCTCGCATCATCGACCTCAAACCTATGATATGATATGATAATCCCAAAGACCAAATATCTCGAGCAAGTTCTTATGGGTCAATATATATTCTGTATCAAGTGTATAACTAAAATCCCTTCTGCTTAACTAACCTATTAATTACGAAATGTGACAATTATGAAGCTTTTGTTTATCTTCATATGCATGCTTAGCTTGCTCAGCTGCTCGGGCACTACTACTATTACTGCAAATGCTTTTGATCACATCACCCGTGGTACGTGCGTGAGCCAAGACGGGGGCAGCAATGGCGACGCAGAGTTCAGATTCAATCTCAACAACCTGCTCTCCACCACCCTTTCCTCCAATGCCTACCATGGCTATCACAATGCCACCTACGTAGGCACAAACTCAGCTGAAAAAGTCTACGTCTCCTTCCTCTGTTGCGGTGATGTCACCTCAAACATTTGTAGAGAATGTGTGGACACCGCAACCACCTTCGCCTTTCAAAATTGCCCCAATGCAACAGATGCTGTACTATGGTTCGACAAATGCTTGTATCGAATCTCCAATGATTATGAACGGATAAATCCCATGGCGAACAACTCAAGTAGAGACTACGTCAAAGTTTTGATGGGGAAGAATGTGATCACCAAACCCATCAGCCGCTATAATCGGTTGCTTGCAGCTACTATGAATAAATTAGTCACTGAGGCTGCCAAAGCTGACAGATTGTTCGCTACCAAAGAAGCCCAAGTTAAAGGGTCAAATATGACGCTGTACAGCATTGCACAGTGCACGCCCACAGCAGATTGCAATCAGTGTCTTCAAGCGGCCGTAGCAGATATAGTTTCAAGGGAAGACCAGTTAGAGGGATTTTTTCTATATCACAATTGTAATATTAGGTACCAACTTTCCCCGTTCTTCAAAAAATTAAGGACTGTAGCAGCTGGATCAAGGAGCAAACTGATCTTGTACATTGTTGCCGGTGTTCTTGCCCTTATTGTCTCTGCCTGTGTGGTGCATGTAGCTTTGGGGGCCTACGACATCGTACGAAGAAGAGAATTGGAGACGCACGTTAATACTGCCAAACAACAAGAAAATGGTAAAGCTGCACACAATTTATAAAGATTAACCCTCTATGTATATATATATGGGATAAGATCAGGGGATAAACATTTTTATACTTTTTTGTAGCCTTTAGATTTTATAACATTCAACGGTCTAGATTAAAAGTGATGTGAAGAGTTTTAAAATTAAATGACTTGGATGATATGTGGATTATAACTAATAAAGAAAACACTAATCTAAATTAAAAATTAATATCTAATAGGATAAAATTGAAAAAACCAATAATCAAACTTTGAACCTAGCATAAAAAATCAAAAAATAGGAAAAACAAAAACATGAAAATACTGTAACCTCCATCTCCTTCCCTGCACTGCCTTGGATGAATTCTCCTCTTTCATTTTATAAAAATTGAACCCTAACAAATAACAAAAAAAAAAAAGAATGAGCAAAAGATAGATTGCCAAGAAATAATTCAACAAAGCCATGAGTTAATTAATGAATTTGTTTCCACTACTTATGGTGATTCCCCTTCAACTAGACCTATATAGGGGTGTAAATTTTTATCAAATTACCATACCAACCGCTCTACCAACCATACCATACCAAATTATTACCAAAAATTTGTACCAATTGGTAATGGTAGGGTATTTGTACCGTACCATATTGTTTCAGTACGGTATTGGTATCCAAAACCAGTACCGGTGGTATACCGTACCTACCAATATTATTAATATTATATTATGTATTGATTCATATAATTATTTGATGGCAAAATTAATAATATTTATTGTAGAAGTGTAAAAAATGTAAAAAAAAAAAAAAGAAAAGTATACAATCACTCATAGTGACAAGCTTTACAATTTTCATGAAGAGGTCAGCTTCAAAATCCAACACTTTAATCCATAAACCTTAAATTTATATTTAACCGTCGATTGTCATTTACGCTTTATTTTTCTTACTAAATTTTATTTTTTAAATTTTATTTTTTGAAAACATGATCATCTGAAGGATGTAAGAAGATAAACGGTTCAGATCTTTGTTATCACGTTTCGATATTTACGATTAACTGAAATATGAGTTGATGTCATATAGTTTGTGGAAACTTAATAAACATCAAGCAATATTTTTACTAACCGTAAAACTCTGAATATAATATCAACGATCCAAACCGTTCATCTTCCTGCATCCTCTAATAGATCATGTTTTCAAAAAAGAAAATCCGAAAAAAACAAATTTGATGAGAAAAATGAAGTGTAAATGTAAACAACAATCAACGGTTAAATTTTGATCTATGATTTGTATGATTATAATGGTGAATTTCAAAGTTAAGTTCTTCATGAAAGTTGTAAAGTTTGTCATTACGAGCGTTTCTATATTTTTTACACTTCTACATTAATTAAAAAATATTAGATTTTGAGCAAACTAAGTGGCGTAAAACAAATTGGCAATTACTATTGGCATACCATACCAACCAAACTATTTGGTATACCGATATTCGGTATATCGAAAGTTTGGTACGATACTGTACCAAAACCGCCCCTAGACCTATACTCTCGAGTAAAACACCAAATCTATTAAAAAAATATGAGAAAATAACTACTTTCAGTCTACAATTGTAGAAGCAACACCGGGCGTGTTTACGTATCCATAATCAGAATGAAAATGTGGAATTGAATTCCGATTACGGAGTACTCCGGTGTTTACTAAACATGGAGGAATCAAAAATGCAATGGGGCCCACACAAATTTTGGAATTCAATTCCTTGTATTGGTGGAATTGGATTCCCTAGATATAGGTGGGAATCCAATTCCTGCTTGTTTGGGCAATTGGAATGACACTTTTATTCCCTTTATGCCCTCACTTACTTTTTTTATTTCCAAGACTATTCTTTATAAACCCATTAAAGTACATAAAATATTTGATTTGGGACAAGGGCATTTTAGTAATCATACTAATTTATATTCTGATTCTAGTGAATTAGTAAACAGTTTTATGGAATTCTATTCCGATTCCAGAACATTTAAGTAAACAGCTTCAACAGGAATCTGATTCTGACTTCTTCTCATTCCAACTCCTCCTTAATTCAATTCCTCCTATTTTCATTACCGTTACGTAAGCGCACCACGAAGGCAATACTGAAGATGATGGGTTTGGATGGATTAACCATCTTTCATGTTAAAGTCATCTGCAGGTTTAAAGGAATCCATTAAAAAAAAATTCCTTTTCTAAAGTGTGATTTATTTTCCTCTCCTTTTTAATTTTATTTTTATGTTTAATATTAGTTAAAATCCACTTAAGCATCTATGTCATTTAATGAATGAATATGGACTTTCGGATGTTTTGTAATCTAAAGGTTTAAAAGAAGTGTAAAAATATTTGTTAAAATGTTTGTCCCTTGATTCTATCCCTATATATATATATATAGCTAAATAGCCAAAACGGTCTCTGAGATTTGCATAATTAATAGAAATGGTCCATAAGAGTAACTCAATTGTTTCTTAACTAAATTCAACCCATAATATATCAAAATGAAGATAGCAAAGTGTAGAACCAAATTATACCTATTTGGAAGCCCAATGGTTGCCGGCGATGGCCATAAAATAACCTGAAAGGTGAATGGTCTAAGGGAAAACTGGAAAACTCATTGGAAACTGGGTAAATTTTAAACGTTCATAACTTCTTCAATACTCAACAAAATCGAGTGATTCAAAAACGGAATTCATACTGCTCGACAAGACGAAGATAATGGTACCTTTCTAGATGGCTAACTCGCCGTGTTTTGACCAGAAAATGACTCGAAAGTGGCTAACCATTTTCGAGTTAGCCACTTTTAAGCCGCTTTCCAGCCAAACCATGACAAGTTAGCAATCAAGAAATGTACCCTTCTCTTCGTATCGTCAAAAAAGTATGATTTTCACTTTTGAATCACTTGATTTCGTTAAGTAGTGAAGAAGTTATGAACTTTTAAAGTTTACCCAGTTTCCGGCAAGTTTTCCAATTTCCCACGGACCAGTCACCTTTCAGGCTATTTTCTGGCCATCTCTGGTAACCATTAGGCTTCCAGATAGGTATAATCTTGTTCTACATTTTGCTATCTTCATTTTGATATATTATGGGTCGAAATTGGTTAAGAATTGATTGAGTTACGAAGTTTTAAAAATTGCCCAAAGAGTTTTTAACAGAATAATCAAAATCATGGACGGTGGATAATCTTAGAGACCATTTATATTGATTATACAAATCTCATGGACCGTCTTGGTTATTTAGCCTATATATGTGTGTGTGTGCGCGCGCACGCGCGTATCCATGAAGATATATATATATATATATATAAGTGTGTGTGCGCGCGCGCACCCATGAAGACGTACATTAATCCAATCGTGTATATGCAACCGATTGTTATTAATTAATCTACTCAGATGGATATATTGAACTCTTGCATTTTAACTTGCGCACTATCTAAATTGCCACAAGCAATTTTTCTGAAGATAACAAGTTAGGTGAAGGCGGATTCGGGGAAGTTTTCAAGGTACATATGATGACATGATATATATGAAAAAGAATATAAACAAAACTAATGAAAATGATTTGAAAAATGCTAACCAAAACCCAGGTAATAACTTTATTTAATGGTTAGAACAAAGCTCAATACTAAATTAGTCCAATTAAAATGATCCAAACACTAAATTTTTGACTTTGCCCCTGCCTTTTCCGTTTAATATCTCTCTTCCTTCTCTCTGCCATTATGTCTCTCGTGTCTTCGTGAAAACTGAAACCTCAATCTTATTTTCTCTCTCCCACGTGACAAACAAAGTCTTCTTTTGTAATTGTAATCCTATGAGCTTCCGCCACCTAGCATCCTATTAACTCAAGGACTTATGAATTGGGAGGTGATACACATGCCGGCAAAAAAATTGGGAGGTATGATGCGATGTCTTATATCAGCCTATGTTTTTTTATTAAAAAAAAAACATCATTAATTTTTTTTTAAATTTATTATAAATTCATGAGACTTCTGAAAAATATGTACTTCTAACTCGTAATCATTTGGGTTTGCATTTCATATCATACCATCAAATTACTAAGATACTAAAGAGAAAATTCTAAAATTCTAATATTTATATGTTCTATGTTAAATAATAAATCCAAATTCGTAATACAAATATGGTTTTTTTTAAGTGTAAATACACATTTATTTATATAACATTTAATAAGTTTACTTAAACTGAAGAACGAGAAATTACGAACATGAATAGTGGCTTCTATTTCTGAAACAGAACCAAAATGACTCATCATATTTCTGATACTAAACCAAAATAACTCACACTATTTTCAGAACTACAGCAAAAAAAAAAAAAAAAAAAAAAAACTCACACTATTTCTGAAACTATAACAAAATAACTCACATTATTTCTGAAACTGAACCAAAATAACTTACATTGTTTCTGAAACTACATCAAAATAACTCACACTATTTCTGGAAATGAACCAAAATACTTACACTCTTTCTAAAATCAAACTAAAATAACCCACACTATTTTTGGCTGGAAATGAACCAAAATACTTACACTCTTTCTGAAATTAAACCAAAATAATCCACACTATTTTTGGAACTATAGCAAAATACTACTTCTGGAACTACAGCAAAATAACATATACTATTTCTGGAACCGAACCAATATAACCCACACTATTTATGGAACTACAACAAAATACTTACTATTTTGAAACTACAGCAAAATAACTCACAATATTTCTGAAACTGAACCAAAGTAACCCACACTATTTTTGAAATTGCAGCAAAACAACCCACATTATTTCTAAAAACTGAACTAAAATAGTCCATGCTATTTTTGTAATTAAACAAATAAACACTATTTCTGGAACTACAACAAAATAACCCAAATTATTTCTGTAATAGAACAAAATACATACTATTTCTGAAACTACAGCAAAATAACTCAAACTATTTTTTGAACTGCAACAAAATAACTGACACTATTTCAGAAATTGAACCAAAATAACTCACATTATTTATGGAATGAAACAAAATAAAC